GATACCAGGTCATTCGACATGTTGACTTCCCCACCTAGGTACACATAACTGTTGCATTTGGAGATGTTCATTCTGTTAGAGTGAATGGAATGTCAGGAATGAGACTGTTTCTCATAAACATTGCCTTCATGAGATTCTCCTGTAGTCGACTTTTCCACACTCATGGTCGAAGTCGGCCAGCATTTGTGCCGCTTTAGTGTTATTAGAATGATGTCATCAGCAAAGCGGAGGTGTAGTTGCCAGCTGTCTATCTTCACTCCCATTCCTTCCCATTCCAGTCATTGCATGACATTTTTGAGGGTGGCACTGAAGAGTTTCGGTGAAATGATATCACCCTGCTGAACCCCTCTCTTGACATGGATGATCACTTCTTTGTAGAATGGTGAGATCCTGGTAGTGAATCCGTAATACAGCTCACGGAGGATCCTGATGTATTGAGTTTGAATGCCCTGATTTGCTAGGGCTTCAATGACTGCTTCCATCTTAACAGAATCAAAGGCCTTCTTTAAATCAATGAACATTAGACAGAGTGGCATCTTGAACTCCCGAGAAACCTCAATGAGCTTGGTTATCGTGTGGATATGGTCGATCGTGCTGAATCCTTTACAGAACCCAGCTTGCTCACATTGACAGTGTTCTGCCAATCCTATTCAGGATGATTTGAGCGAACAGCTTGTAGATGATAGAAAATAGGCAGATTGGGTGATAGTTGCCAATGTCATGGATGTCTCCCTTCTTGTACAGTAGTACAGTCCTGCTGGTTTTCCATTGGGACGGAAACTTGCATTCAGACAGGTAGCATTTGAAGAGCCGAGTCACTGTATTGATGAGTACTGATGGCAGGTTCTTCAGCTGTTCAGGTCTGACCTTGTCTGGGCCAGGTGCTGTTCATTTCTTTACCGACAAAATGGTGTGTCGGATTTCGGAAGGGAGAACGTTGGGAATGACATATCCATCCTGGGGAATATGGTATGTGGGCAGTTGGATGTGGCTATTGAAGAGATCCGAGTAAAAGTCATGGATAATCTTCTCCATTGCCCTTCTGGAAGATGTGATAGATCCATCAGAACGTCGGAGGGCAGTCATCTTGGTCTTGTAGTTGGTAAAGGACAGGCAGGCATTGCGAATGCTTTTCCCGGCTTCTGCCGCATCTACCAGCACTGCTGCTCTTCTCTCTTTAATGTCTTCCTTTATTGCTTCTCTGCACTGCTTTGCGAGCTCAGACATTCACTTACGGTTGCCATTGCAAAATTCTACTTCACAGAGCGGGGAGAAAGGGCTGCAAAGTTTAAGAATAGAACTCCCAGAACGACCACCTACTGGGAGCTCTTTGGCACTATTGTGGCAACATGGGAAGATGCCGTCATTGACAACATTGACGAGGAATACGATCAACTGGTTCAGCACCTCCATGATTGTGCGAGGAATGCCAAGAGAGAGAGATACCCACAAAAAAAAGCCTGTCTACAAAAACTCTTGAGTGTATTTGCCAATGCGGCTTGGCGCATACCTCAGGCAATTCAATTTTTAAAAATAAAAATTAAGTTTTTTAAGGTGGGCTGCTTGCAATAGGGTGAGTGAGGCAATCAATCTGGAGTAAAGTATTTTATTCTCCAAAAGATACCTGATCACCTCGCATTCTTAGCTGAAGAAAACAGGTAGATGTGCTGGAGAGCTAGTACTGTGGGAGGGGAGGGAGCTTGCCAATCTGGGTTCCATCCCTGGCACCCCATAGGGTCCCCCCCAAAAAAACCCAAAAAAGAAAAAAGAAAAGTTAAAACTTTTGTTGTTGTTGTTGTTTTGGGATCCTACGCAGCATTGCTCAAGGCTTACTCCTAGTTCTGCACACAGGGACAACTCCTGGAAATGCTCAAGGGACCATTGTCAGGTTCCAGGGATTGAATCTGAGTCTGCCTTGTGCAAGGCAAAAGCCCTCCCTGCTGTGCTACCCTTCTTCAGCTCAGAAAGGTGCACATGTAGGTTTCTACACAATCATGACAATAGCTGAGCAGATAATAAGCATCATACACGGCATAAAACCATAAACCTTCCCAGCAGCTCCTCCTTTGACCCTCCCACTAAAGTGCAAAGTCCTTCCCAGAGGAAAAGAAAGACACAAGCGTCACTGGGGACAGAAGCGGGTCAGAGAAGCGCCAAGCAAAACCATTCAGGCCCTGCAAGACCCTCCACTGGGAGGAAAACCTACAGACCATGGAACCTTCTAGACCCAGTTGCTGCCTCTGGAGGGGACTCCTTGTAGGTAAGATGCCCAACTGGCAGGGTGGAGAGCTGGGGAACGAAGGGGGGGGCAGCGCCTCTCCTGAGCTTGCACACCAGCTACAGCCAGCCCATAAACACATGCATGCGCAGTACCCGCACGCACGCACATACAAAAAGTGAACCCAAGAATGCTTGCACGCTCACGCAGGGGAGTAGGGAACGGGGATCCCTCCCCTCACTTCTCAGTCTTCACCTCTCCCAGGTGCCTCAGGTACCTGAGCTCTTCCCCCAACCCTCATTGTCCCTCAGTACATCCCATGTCCACCCCGGCACATGTCTTGTTTGTGTGTTCCAAAAACTGTCCACTGACCTCAAACATCAGCAGGATCCTCTCTGGAGTCCCAGAGTCGGCTCCATCCCAATGCCCGAGTTCAACTCGGTCTGATGCTTGTGCTGGGTGATAACAGACCCCAGACTCCACTTGCCTGCACAACCGAATTTAAAACACGCCCACCAGCCCGTGCAGACCATCCTGGGACTATGTCTGCGCATGTCCCTGCCCAGCCCTTCCTGGTAATTATTCTTTGAGCTCAATGGTGAGTGCAGCTGCACTGAGCTAGATGGAGCTCTGTAGACACTGCAGACACCCAGAGCAGGGAAGAGCGGGAGACACCAGAGTTGGCAACTGAAGGGTCTGTAAGTGAGCTGTCAGGAAAGGGCAGTGGAGACGCCAGCCTGAGGTGGAGCACTCTGCCAGGGTCACTGGGTGCATGCTGACCTCTGAAGTGACGCCTGCATGAGTCATGATGTAGGACAGAGGCAGAGGCAGGGTGGAACCCTTCCATGCTCTAACGCATCCATCTCTGAGAGAATCTTGTGATCCAAATGCAGTTTGAGCTGGAAGTGTTGGAGAGTTAGAACAGCGGGGATGGTACTTGCCTTGCATGCACCCAACCTGAGTTCGATCCCCAGCACTGCATAGGGTCCCCCCAAGAGAGCCCTGAGTACAGCACCAGGAGTAAGACCAGAGCTTTACTGGGTGAGGCCCCAAAACAAAAATAATCTTTTAAAGAGTGTGAGCTTGAGGGTCCGGAGTATTTGTCTTATACACAGCCGACCCAGGTTCAATCCCTGACAGGAATGATCTCTGAGCAGAGAACCAAGAGTCAATCCTGAGCACCGCTGGGTGTGCCTCCTACCAAAAAAAAATTGAAATTGCTATACACAAATATATATGTATATATGAAGCACTGTAGCACTGTTCATCGATTTGCTCAAGCAGGCACCAGTAACATCTCCATTGTGAGACTTGTTGTTACTGTTTTTGGCATATAGAATATGCCACAGGGAGCTTGCCAGGCTCTGCCGTGCGGGTGGGATACTCTAGGTAGCTTGCCGGGCTCTCTGAGAGGGACGAAGGAATCAAACCCAGGTCAGCTGCATGCAAGGCAAACACCCCACCCGCTGTGCTATCACTCCAGTGTACACACACACACACACACACACACACACACATATAAATAGATGTGACAGATGGGTGTATACATGCATATAAACAAACTGTTGAATTTGATGCTAGAAATATGTGAGAATACACATTAAAAAGTTAAATATAGGTGCTGGAGTGATAACACAGCAAGTTAGGTGTTTGCCTTGCACACGGCTGACCTGGATTCAATTCCCAGCATCTCATATGGTCCCCCGAGCACCTCCAGGAGTAATTCCTGAGTGCATGAGCCAGGAGTAACCCCTGTGCATTGCCGGTGTGATCCCCCAAAAAGTTAAATATAGGGTCATAGCAATTATACAGTGGGGAGAGCGCTGGCCTTATGTGCTGCTGACCCAGATTTGGTCCCTGGCACCCCATAGGATCCCCTGAATACCACCAGGAATGATCCCTGTGCAAGGCAAGTACCTCTCTGCTGCTCAATCTCTTCAGCACACTGTCTTGATTTATTTAGAGATAAGGTTTGACATGACAATTCAAAAGCAAGAGGACATCATTTTCTTTCCTTGAAAAATAAATTTTGAAAGACAGTTTGAGCTTGTAACAAACAAAAACAAAAAATATAAGTAGTACAGGGCTTAAGGCTTAAGCTTTGTATACTGTCAATCCTGGTTCAAATCCCTGATACCACCCATGGTCCTCTCCCACCACCCCTGCACCCTGAATACTGTGGTAGGTAATTCCTGAGCACAGCAAGAGCCAGGAATAGCCCCTGAGCTCTTCTGGCTGTGGCCCCACCGAAAAATTCAAACATAAAGAATCTGAGATTGAGGATGAGAGCAGTGGTATCCGCAGAGGTACTTAAACAGGGCCAGAGAAGCTCCCCACAGGCTTTGATAGGATCCGAGCAACTGGCACGAGAGGATGAAGGTGAGGTCAGACCCCAAGAGGAAGAAATAAAGATGGTCCAGGCAGGGCTGGGGGGGTGGGTAGTGGACAAGATAAGGCATGTCCTGGAGTGCAAACCTTGCACGCTTTCACCAACAATTTTGTCTGTCTCTCTCTCTCTCTTTTTTTTTTTTTTTTTGGCTTTTTGGATCATACCCGCAGATCCTCCAGGGTCACTCCTGACTCTGCACTCAGGAATTATTCCTGGCATTGCTCAGGGGACCATATGGTATGCTGGGGATCGAACCCAGGTCAGCTGTGTGCAAGGCAAACACCCTACCTGCTATGCTATTGCTCCAGCCCTGTTCTGTGTCTTCTTACCTGAGTGTCCTGTTTCCTTCCATCTCTCTGCCTAAACCACCTTTGATCATCTTCAGTCATCGGGATGGTCTGCGGGATCCACCTGACTGCCAGCCAGATGTTCATCGACCCTGGTCATCTTCAGTATTTAGAGGGAGAGGCTATACTGTTCCTCATGAAAGTTCCCGACAATGCCACGGAAGTCAGCTGGCACCGTGGCTCCGAGCCCACGGCAGAAACTCTCATCCTGAGCTACTTTCCTCTCAAACAAACCTGGCATCAAGGTCCCATGTTCAGTCACCGGGAAAATATGACTGAAGAATTCCTGTTCATCAGCAGGGCTGAACTGAAGGACACAGGAAATTACACGGCCAAGGCGGTCAGCAAAAATGGGGTCCAAACAGCAACGGCCCTGCTGCGGATTGGAGGTGAGCAGGGCGCAGGGGATCCAGCCAGGGCGGCCCACTGGACCCCTACGCCACACCACATCCTCTGCTGTCTTCTAACGCACCGCATGGCCCAACCTTTCTCCCTGAAGCTCACTGTCCTCTCTTGTACAACATGTGAGCACGCTCGTGGGGGGGGGAGGGGGGGAGTGGTATATATATATATATATCAATATCTGGCTTTGTTGCAAGTCAAAGGGGACCCTTTGTAAGGTGAGGGGCTCATGAAAGTTGTGGGGGTCTCCTGTTCTGAAGGGGGCCTCGCCCAGCATCGCTCAGGGGCTGTTCCGGGCTCTCCCACTCAGCAGCAGCCCTGGAAGTGCTCAGGGGGCTGTATGCAGTGCTAGGGATCACATGGGTCAGCCACATAGCAGGCCAGACAGAGCCCTGCGCTCGCTCTTCTGTGCTGCTAGAGTACTGTAGCCATCTGCACAGGCTTCTCTCGAAGACCCTCCCACTGCTCCTGCAAGAGGAGGTCCTGACTTGAGGATTTAGCAGCAGCAACCACAAAGGCTGAGGGCCTGGATGCAAATTTCATGGGTGGAGCACTCATTTGGTATGTGGGAGTCTCATGTTCAATCCCAGGCATCATGTGGTGCCTGGAACACAGCCAAGAGATGCCTCCCCCTCCCCCCCGCCCAGGTACTGAACCATGAGTAGCCCTCAAGCACCACCCCCCAAAAGCAAAACAAATAAGTAAATGAAAGAATCCACCAGTGAGCAGAGCAGATCTTGGGAACCCACCCCTAATTCTGCCCCTCTTTCCTGCCTACCCCAGAGATCTATCTCAAGCCAGTCCTCACACTCAACACCAGCTCTGCAGTGGAGTATTTGGATGCCGTTACTGCCAGCTGCAGCACCAATACCACCCAAATCAAGTGGTACTTGTCCGATACACAGGTGGCCAGCAACGATCAGATGACACTGTCGTCAGACAACAAGACCCTCACCATCCACTGGGTCAGCCGCTCTGACAGTGTGATTGAGTGCATGACCGTGAACTCCGCAGACATGATTCAGAAGACTTTTGCCGTACTGTCTGTGTCCTGTGAGTACTCTCAGGTCATGGGAGTGAAGCTTGGGAGGACTCAGGTAAAGGTAAAGGTAAAGGCCCTCCCGTTGATCGTCGATTTGCTCGAGCGGGCCCAGTAACGTCTCCATTGGAGACTTTGTTGTTACTGTGTCTGGCATATCCAATACTCTCGGTAGCTTGCCGGGCTCTCCGAGAGGGGCGGAGGAATCGAACTCGGGTCGGCCACGTTGGCCGCTTGGAAGGCGAATGCCCTACCTGCTGTGCTATGACTCAGAACCTTCTGAAACTCTCAGACAGGCCAAGTTGGAGACGGGAGAACACCAAGGGCTTGCAGATGACCTTATCATGGCTGGAATCCAGGTTCATTGGCCTGTGGAACCCTTTTTTTCCTTTCCTCAGAAATCTGATCTCTACTGCTCAGATTAGAACTGGGTGGTTGAGGTTCTAACTTGGAGATCCAGAGGATATTTAAAGCCCAGTCACGCCCTCCTTCCGTTGCCATGGAGACTGAGCTTACCTTTCCACCTCTGGAACTAGTCTGGAACTAGTCTTATAGTTCCCTTAGTTTTTCTGGTCGCAGGCTGGATGAGGCTGCCCTGCCAACTGACCCATATGAAACAAAATGCTCCTCCTCCCCACACCCCATCCGCCTTACACTGCTTATCAGCCAGAGGTTTGGAACTAAGATACCGGATACAGGGGCTTCAAAAAAATAATAATAAAATGTTGCGGCAGGAGCACACAGTGGGTAGGGTGTTTGCCTTGCACGCGACAGACCCAGGTTCAATCCCTGGTATCCTATATGGTATCCTATATGGTCCCCCGAGCACCACCAGGAGTAACTCCTGAGTGCAGAGCCAGGAGTAAGCCCTGAGCATTGCTGGGTGTGACCCAAAAAGAAAAAAAAATGTCCTGTGCTGGGAATTCTTTCTGGCCGATTGCAAGAGACTGAAGGGAGCAGTGGTTGGGATATTCTCTACTTTCTGTTGTAGAATAGGATGAACCCTCTTGGACTCTCAGTTTTCTCCTCTATAAAGCAGGACATGGGTCGATGCATGGGTTGTTGTGGGAATTAAGTGAGTGTATGGCCAGTGGCCAGCGTGCAGGGGACCTGGCTTGGCTGGCTTCTACCCTGAGTGTACTTAATTATAGTGTCGAATCTACCCTGGTGCTAGGTAATGGGGGGGGGGGCATTATTTTCATGCTCCTCCTTGTGGGTCTCGGAGGCACCTGGAGTTATAGGTGGAGTCCCTTGTCAGGAGGCAGACTTCCTGTGGGTGTGGGAACAGGATGAACCCCCAGGAGTCAGAAGCCAGCTTGAGATTCCCCACTATCCCTGCAGATGGCCCTGACTCCATAACCCTGATGAGCAGCCCCTTCCACTTGGATGGAGTCTTGAGAGCAGACCTGGGTTCGAGAGTGGAGATGAACTGTTCTGCATACCTCCCTCAGACACCCAACAAGTACAAGTACCACTGGACCCACTTCAACACCCTCCAGAACTTCTCAGGGACAAGCATTACCCTCAAAAGTCTGACTGAGGCGCAACTGGGCCGGTACCGATGTACCGTGGAGAATCCTGCAACCCAGATCATCATGTACCAAGACGTGTGGGTCCAGAAATCCAGTAAGTGCTCAGGCTGCTGACACACCCTCTCCCCCAACTCTTTCTTTCTGTTGTTGTTTTTTAATTTTGGGGCTGCATTGGGCTGTTCCTGAGGTTTATGCATGGCTCTGCACTCAGGGGTCACTCCTGACAGGCTCAGGGAACCATTTGTGGTGCTGGAAATCGAACCCCGCTCAGCTGTGTGCAAGGCAAGTACCCATCCTCCCTGTTCTATCGCTTTGGCCCCTGAAATTCAGATTTCTTTTTTTTTAAATTTTTTTAATTTTTAATTTTTTATTAGTGAAACTCCATGTGGTACAGTTGTTGACCTTACAAATTTCTATGCTTGGGTTTCAGTTATACAATGATTGAGTACCCATCCCTCCACCGGTGCCCATTCCCTACCTCCAATGCTCCCAGGATCCCTCCCACCCCCCCAACCTCCATCCCACCCCACCCCCGTGGCAGGGCATTCCCTTTTTTTCTCTCTCTCCTTTTGGGTGCTGTGGTTTGCAAAAGGGGCATTGAGTGGCTATCATGTTCGGTCTATAATCTATTTTCAGCATGTATCTCTCATCCTGGGAAGGTCCTCCCAACACCCTTTACTTGGTGCTCCCCTCTCTATCTGAGCTGCCTTCTCCCTCAGCATGTGCAGCTGGCCTCCAAGCCATGGAGTGAACCTCCTGGTACTTATCTCGGCTATTCTTGGGTGTTAGTCTCCTATTTTGTTACTTTTATATTCCAGAGATAAATGCAATCTTTCTATGTCTGTCCCTCTCTTTCTGACTCATTTCACTTAGCATGATAATTTCCATGTAGTACCACTTGTATGAAATTTCATGACTTCATATTTTCTAACAGCTACATAGTACTTCATTGTGTAGATGTACCAAAGTTTCTTTAACCAGTCACCTGTTCTCAGGCATTCGGGTTTTTTCCAGATTTTGGCTATTTTTGTGAACAGTGAAGCAATGAACATAGAAGTGCAGATGTCATTTTGACTGTACCTTTTTGCCTCACCGGGATATATTCCCAGGAGTGGTATTGCTGGCTCAAATGGGAGCTCAATTTCTAATTTTTTGAGAATTGTCCATACTGTTTTCCAAAAGGGCTGAACCAGTCAGCATTCCCACCAGCAGTGAAGGAGAGTCCCTTTCTCACCACATCCATGCCAACACTGGTTGCTTTTGTTCTTTTGGATGTGGTGAGATTCAGATTTCTAAATTTTTTTGTTGCTGTTGTTTTGGGACCACAACTTGGGGCTTATTCCTGGTTCTGCACTTGGAGCTTATTCCTGGTTCTGCACTCAGGAATCACTCCTAGCAGTGCTTGGAAGACTATATGGGGTGCAAGGATTGAACCTGAGTTGACGGCATGCAAACAAACATCCTACCCACTGTCCTATTCTCTCCGTTCCCTGTGAAGCTCAGATTTCTAAATCTTCCCACCTGTGAATTCACAAAATATTGCAAGGGGGGGGGGGTGCTTCGTTCGGTGGCCCAGAGCCACCTCCCTTCCTCCCAAGCCTCTCCAGAAGAGAGACAGAGAGACAGGAGGGGACCACAGCCTGATGGTGAAAAATGGCTCCTTTAATGCAGAGCTGCTAGCATACTTATAGAGCATCTGAGGGGGGTTGAGGTAAGGACATAGATGCGTTTGATCTGGAAATTTACATACATCATTTATATAGATAAAACATCTGGGAATTCCCTTTCAGGGAGATTAACGCAAGGAGACACTGTCTCCCAGGGACATCTGCATTGCTTTTATGTTTCCCTCTAGTTGTATACTTGCAGTTTGGATAAACACAGTAAGAGACAAAGATCCCAACACTTCATCCTCTGGGCTCTGGGAGCAAGCAAGGCTTTTACTGTAAATCCCAGACAAGTCTCCTCAGGCCAGTTCAGCTTGTCCCTCTCCATGGGGGTCCTGTCTCTTAAGTCATAACAGCTTGCATCAAGACCATGCATTTATGCTTTCTAGACTGTCCCATTTCTATGCTGGGTTAGCTTTGCCACTCGCCCGGGGTCCATCTCAGTCCTACAGTGGGACTTCCCTTTTGGGGTGTTAGAAACTACAGCAACTGAAGCCCGAGTCAAGTAATTATGCCCAGGAGTAGATATATTTCAGAGTCAATCAACTCCCGAATATCAGGAGCATAGCATTAACAGTCTTTCTTGTGTTTAACCAAAGAACACTACTCTATAGTAAAAGTAAAGTAAGTAAAGGCCCTCTCCGTTGATCATCGATTTGCTCGAGCGGGCCCAGTAACGTCTCCATTGGAGACTTTGTTGTTACTGTGTCTGGCATATCGAATACGTCACGGGGAGCTTGCCAGGCTCTGCTGTGCGGGCGAGATACTCTCGGTAGCTTGCCGGGCTCTCCGAGAGGGGCGGAGGAATCGAACTCGGGTCGGCCATGTTGGCTGCGTACAAGGCAAACGCCCTACCACTGTGCTATAGAAAAGCAAGTACAAACATACAACATTTTAAATACAAAGCACAGAATTGGCAGAAAGTTTTGGCTTATAAATAATCAAGACTGACTTGGGGAACTGTGACAATGAGAGGTAAAATACAAAGAAAAGGTTAAAGATAAACTTTAACTAAATTAGGGATTCTAGGAAGAACACAATAATCCTCCCAGGAAGGAGGAAAAGGGGCAAATCACCAATGAAGCCTAAAACACTTAGGGCTAATATGCAACACCCACCTGAATGCACTTCCCCTAGACTGTGTTCTCACCATGGCAGGGGATTTTCTCCTTCCAACACACACACACACACACACACACACACACACACACACACACACACACGCCACTTGTGGAGGTAAGAATCCCCACAACCTCTCTGATCAGAGTCACCAAACTTCCTGGCCACTTCCTGGGTGCACCTGTGCTGGGTGGCCTTCACATTCTCCCTATAGAGTGGGACATGCTCATTAGCCTCCACAGCAGATGAGAACAGAACAAGGGATGCCTACGGGCCTGGGCAGGACAGACCTCCTCTGCCCTCGGTGAGTGTTGCCCCTCTGTAAAATCTTATCATGCCGAAGGTTGTGTGTTCACGGGCTCACTGGATGGCACTGTCTCACTGCCCGCGTTTGGTGCTCTTGAGCCGCTGTGTGTGGCCTGGATCAGAACGGCTATTGGCCAAGGGCAGACGGAAGAAGAAACGAACCAGGCTGCTCTATATCAATAGTAGTTTATTCCAATCCTCTTCACTCCTGTCTTTCTCTGCCTCCTTCTCTCCTGGGCCCCAATCTGGAACCCCTCTCCTTCTGGCTCTGACTCTGAATCTCTGGAGCCCGAGCTCTCTCGCTTCTGACTCTCCTCCTCCCCGAGCTTACAGTCTTAGTTTATATAGCAATCACGTAAGGTGGTGACATAAAGGTGGGTTTAATATTGACAAATCAACAAAGAGGGGTAAGACGACTCCTCTAGGAGATTAACTCAAGGATAAAATCTCATCTAAAGAGATTACTCCAGATTACTAGGAGATCCGCTCAAGGGTGGGATCCCAACAAGGGTGTGTTCTTCCCTCAGTTAGTAATCTACTTATATAGTTATAATAAATCTACTTCTAATATTTCTAGCAATGTCATTCTGTATGAGCACAGTAAGATATAAACTTAGTTTGTTTCTTCCTGAGAACATCTCACTATACATTCCTCAGTCCTCAGGCCAGGTTAATCTTTCTAGCTCCAGCAGGGTCCTAGTCTCGTTGTTACTTACTTTTGGATCATGACAGCATTTGTCCATGATCATGCCCTCAACTTATAGTTGAGTATCGTGGCACTTTGGCCTGGCCAAAGGGTAGCTCACAGCTTGCCCTGGGTCCATTCAGTCCCTCATCGGGACCCTGCTTTTGGGGTGCTAGGAACTAAGGGCAACTGAGTCAAGAAAGCAGATGCCCAGGAGTAAATATTATTCGGAGTCAATAAACTCCCAAGTTACAAAGCATAATATTAACTGTCTTCCTGTGTCCACACAGAAAGGACATTGCTTAGATAGGTGTGACCTGATAAACCTAAGGCTACCTGAGGAAGGACAAAACAGTGTTATCCTACACCCCTCTTCTTCCCTTTGGCTGCCCCCAAGGGGAAAGAGGCCCGGCAGGAGGAGGGAAGCAGAGATTCATCAGGGCTGTGACACCTGCAGATTGAATCGGGAGCAAAACAGCCTAGGAGATCACCCTCACACAACCTCCACCTCACGGGGTGCAACTGGCCACTAGGGGAAGACAGGTGCTAGGCCAGTAAAATTCAGGCTGAGAGCCCAAGGACCTGGTTCCTGTTCCAGGCCGGTTGTTGGTCCTCTGCATAGACCAGCCATCAGCTGCATCTCTTTGAGCCTCAGTTTCCCCAGTCATGTCAGGGTAGTAGGGGAGGGGGTTGTCAGCAAGGTGACAGATGAGGAGGTGATGATGCTGTGTGATCCTACTGCCTATTTAGGCCTTTTCTTTCTTTGTGTATGTGTGTGTGTGTGTGTGTGTGAGGGCGGGGGCGGGGGGAGAGGAGTTTGAAAACATCCAGGGGGTTGGGGGCAGGGGTACTATAGCTATGAACTCAGGGTCACTCCTGAAAGTGTTTCAGAGACACCCTGTGCTGGGGATGGAACTGAATCTTCCTGCACACACACAGCAAGCACTCGCTGCGCTGAGTCTTCCTGCTCCTCTGGACCATGAACTCTGCTGGGCTGAGCAATTTTTAGTTCCATGTTTCAACTCAGTGCTTGACACAGCACCTGATGCTAAGTTGGAACTTAGCGAATATTTGCAAAAGTGGGCCTCCCTTCCCCTGTACCCCCTCCCGACAAGTCACATCTTGGATCTTCTCCAGGAGTGCCTGCAGCAAAATCACGCATGTCTTTGTTCCCTTGTCAACTGTCTTCTCCCCAACTGGAATGTCAACCCCACTGGGGCGGGTCTGTCCTGTTCCCTGCTGAATCCCCACTGCCCGAACTGTCACTGTGGGATCTCTGGGGAAAACAGAGGGGTGGATGAGCCAAGAAGGGGAGTGCGGGATGTCCCTCACCCCCATCTCCTCTCCTTCCAGTGTACATTCCTGATCCCAGTGATGGTTTTCTCCTCGCCAAGCCCTTGGTGGTGCTGCTCATTGTGCTGGCGGTCCTGGGTGGCATCTCGCTCTGTGGAATGCTGCTGTACACCCTGATTGGCCCCTGCTCCAAGAGGTACCTATTGCCTTTGCTCAGGCTGGGGACTGGGGATGGGCAGGGAGAGCTAGCTCTATGGACCAGGTTGCCTCTGTGACCAGTGTAGACAGTGAGAAGGTTCAGAGTCAGCTCCACTTCTAGGTGGCTGTGGGGCCTCACAGGGGCTTCGCGTTATAGCCCAGGTGTCCATGGTGAAGCAGCTGGGAAGGGTCACTGTGGGAGAGTGGGCAGCAGGCCCACAGGGTAGCATGCATCTGGCATGTGGCTGTTCCTATCACCAAGCAAAATTCAGCAAGCAAGGAGCGAACTCTGCTCTGCTGGGGAACTTGATGGTCAGAGGGATGACTAAGGTTTCACCAAATTCCAGCCCTACCTGGGCAGATTATTCAGGAATGAGTGTCCCTATGGTGATGGCTACTCTCAGACCCCACCTGGGAGGATGGAAAGAGAATCACTGGCCCCAGAGAGTTCTGTGGAGAGTGACCAGTGAGTAGCATCTGGGTGTAGACAGACCCGAGTTTTTCCACCTCTGCATGATCAACACAGAGTAAAGTGAGTCTTTGGAAGGAGGTGAGGTAAGATGTTGGGGACAGCTGCGTCCCGAGCTCTGTCTAGGGGAACGTGACCAACAGTCATTATAGCCGCCAAAAGCAGCGAGGTGGGGATGAAGTTGCTGGTAATGACGACAGTGTTGGGGACAGCAATAATAGTGTTGTCATGGTGGCAGCAGTGCTGGCGGAGAAGATTATGGTGTGAAGGTTGTGGCGGAGCTGCCATTTGTCATGACAGTGGGATGGTGACGAGGAAGTTGGTGATGGTCACCCTGGTGACAGTGGTCTTGGTTATGCTGGTGATGGTGAAGATTTTCAAAGATATTCTCTTTTGTATGATTTTAATTTCTTTTTAATATTGAACCTATGTGTAATTATTATGTGACCTCTATACCAAGAGGCTTACACTATTGACCACCAAGGAAATAACAAGCAAGTTTGTCCAGTTACGCTTTGGGGTATCTCCTAGAGGGTTAAAGTATTATTAATAAAGACTTAGAAACAGGCTGGGTACATAGCAAAAATTCAATATAGTTTCTAGTATTATATGATGATACTGCCTCTGTACCATCATCTTTCCTCAGTGAGCAATGACAATGGGTGACAAGTACATCTAGGGAGTTTGGGAAGATTGATACCACCCTTATGTCTTCATGTTGAAAGAAGGCCTCACCCAGAGGTGGCCCACTCTGCACAGAAAACTGTCATCCCAGCATCTTCACAGAGCATGTTTTCCATGATAGGGGGTAGAGGGCACTGTGTTAGGTGAGATTCAGCCTGTTGGCCTTCATTATTCTAACTGTGTCACTTTGGGTGATTCGCTTAACTCCCACTTCTTCAACCACAAGGTGGGATAAAACCCCGGCACCCCAGAGGGTCCCCCAAACCCTGCTGGGAGTGATCCCTGAGTGCAGAGCCAGGAGTAAACCCTGAGAACCACCAGGTGTGGCTCAAATACGAAAAAAGGCCCAAGTATCTATTTGTGTGCCACTGAAAATGTTCCTAACAGTTCCTATAAGTGCAGTGCCACAACTGAGAAAGTAATGACTATCATCATCGACATGCAGTTCCAGAATCTTTCCCAGATATATCTGTTCCTTCTCCCTAATCTCTATCTCATGTCATCTTCGTCCAATGAACTTAAGACCTCAGAAATGCTTTACATATGTGGAGAATTAAGGACTCATGTCCCCTCTCTGAGGCCAGAATAGCACAGCTATTCTATGCTATTACATAAATATATATAATGTATATATTTATGTATATAAATATAAATATATATAAAATATATAAAGGGTACTTGCCTTTCACCCAGCTGACCTGGCTTCAATCCCTGGCTCCCCATAGGGTCCCCTGAGCCACACCAGGAGTGATTCCTGAGCACAGAGCCAGGAGTAAGCCCTGAGCACTACTGGGTGTACCCCAAAAAGCAAAAGAGAAAAGAAAGAAAAGAAAAAGCTCAAGTCCCTATATTTACCCCTCTGCTCTGGGGCTGTCAGGGAGAAGTGTTGGGGATGAGAACACGACCCCCTCACTCTCCTGAACGTCAACTCTCCTGAATTTTCTTGGTGTCCTACAGCCCTAATATGCGACTTCCCTCTTTGATTTTGAGACATGTATTAGCCTTAACGTGAACTGTTCTCCATGGTTTATTTCCCCTCCCCTTGTGACCTTGCTGCTGCTGCTGCTATAGTTATGTGGGTCCCAGGCTGGCTTGTGGTGTTCTCGGGGTGTGCACTCTGCAGGGTGCAGACTTTCTCATGGTGGCCTGAGCACTTGGCTGTGCTGCTGGCTGGGGGGTCCCATGCACACACTCACCCAGGGCTGAACTTGACCATGAAGCCTTTGGTCATGGGGCCTATGCACACTTGCTTGCCTGCATGGCACTCTATGATGGGCTCTAAACAACTGGTACTGTAGTGGGCTCAAACTCGCCACCTTCCGGTAGCAAAGCAGGCACTTCAGTCATCGAACCAGCCCCAGAGGTCCAGCTATGACATCTACCCTGATTTCTCCTCATAGGATGAAAGGGACCACACAAGTGTCCACCTCAGAGCTGTAGGACAAGACATGCGGCAAGGGGCTGGGGCAAGAGCTGCTGGCCCCCTCTGAGATGCACCAGCCTGGACCAAGTCCAGGGTCTAGCGGAAGGGATCACCAAGCCACTCAGAGGTGGGGAGATGGATGCTCCTGGAGACCCCACCTAGAACCTGCAGTTTGACACCTGAGAACCTGGCCCCTGGCTGCTGCCTGTGCCCATCAGATGCAGACCAAGGTGGGTCATGCTCAGAGCTCCAGATTCTAACTCAAACTCTGCTTCCCTGTCAGCAATTGAGCTTCCAACCTCTCTGCCCTTCACCTGATGCTGCGGGACCAGGTGGGGTGACACACAACTGCTCCCACCTCAGCATTGCCAGTGACAGAGATGGAACAACCTGGACTCGAGGAGGGACCATCACTACTAAAAACCAGACCGGGGGGGAAATGTCCAACTGACAATGAACATGTTCACAGTTGATGAAACGTACTGGTGAAGCTTCATCTGATCCACTATGATTCTGAGGAGGCACAGATTGATCTAGATCACATGTATGGTACCTAAGAATCTAAGTATCGAGTCCTGTGTGTACACTTGGGCTGTGTGTGCAAACTGCTATTATAATCAGAAAAAAATAAACAAACTTAAAATAATATGGCGCATCTTGAGGCTCCATGATGCCATTCCATTTTTTCCAGCCCATTTTCATTAATACGGCCAAAAAATATCTTTATAAATATATGAAATTCTGTGGTCACATTATAGAACGCAGAAAGGATGGGAGTGAGGAAGAGACAGAGACTCGCTTGCCAGAAGCAAACAACCACCTTGAATGTCTCTGCTCCCATAAACTAAGCAGACAGGAGAGCATCTAGAACTAGGCAAACTCTAAGGGAGTAGATGCCACAGCTAAAAAGAAAATTGTCAGAGGATCAGGCGGGCAGAACATAATACCAGACACAGGGTGGGCAAAGCTAAAGTCCAAGTTGTGGTGCTGAAGTCCAAGATCACGTTGATGTTGGTGAGCCCCCATGGGTGACTTATATCAAGTGGGGAGAAGAAAGACTTTCTCCCCATCCGCCCCTGCCATCTGGGACCCAGGGTTACTGGGTTCTTGTCTTGCCTCCCAGAAAGGAATTTCAGGAGTAGACAAGCAGTGAAATAAAGATTTTATTTGGAGGATTTTTAAGGTGGGAGGGAGAGAGGGAGGGGGAGAGAGAGAGAGAGAGAGAGAGAGCGAGAGAGAGAGAGAGGTACTCAAGAGAGAACACAGGCTTCTCCAAGGACGGAGAGAAAGCCCCTATACACACATCCTAGCATTAGACACGAACGCATGAAAGTACACATCTCAAGAGGGAGATGCGGGCGACACATGTGCTCAGCCCACATGTGCTCGGCCATGTGGGTGCAAGCAGCACATGAGCTCAAGCAGCATATGCGCGCCCTTCCTTTGTTCAAGGTGGCCTTTATAGGGTTTCTCCAGCCTGCCTCCATGTGAAGCTTCTTCCCAGGTAAAAAAGTCCATTGCTAAGGAGGTTGCCAGGGAGGTTGGGAGCCGTGATGGTCTTCTAAAGTTAATCGGATTAAAAGGATGGTCCAAAAAGAGGAACTTCATGGGGAGGAGGCCTATATCCTCAGGGTCTGCCGAATGGTCTTAACAGGTCTTTGTTTTCTGTATTCACAAAGTGGGTCAGTCCTAGAATTCTTCTTCCATGAAACTTTGTTTCATTGCCAAGAGCCTTTCCCTACCTACCTGCCTACATCAAAGTGACTGGACACTTGTATCCCACCAGGGCCCTGGGTGACACATGATTTTCACAGGAAGGGAACCAGTGCCATCACCTGATTTCTTAATTTTCCAGGAGCTGTGGCCTCAGGCTGAAACCAGGGCTTGCTCTCTGCAGCAAAGTTCCTTCTTGCTTGGCCCAGGCCTCCATGTTTGGGGGTTAACACCAAAGAAGTGAATTTCAGGAAAACCAAGAAGCTTATATTCGAGATGTCTGATGGGGAAAGAAGGTGGCATGGGGGGTGAGGGGGGGGGGGGGAATGCAGGAGCATACCTACCGCCCAAGCTAAAGAAACCTGGGGGGGGGGGGGAGAGAACTCTGGGTAGTGAACCCCCAAGAGAGCTGAAGGGCCCAGCCTCAAGATCTGGGTCTGGCGTTTCTGAAGTCTTCTTAAATAGGTTCCTGGATCTCAAAGGCTGCCTTTGGAGACACGATTTTTTTTTCTTAACCTGATCCATTGTCTGAGTCCCAACACCTCGATCTTTCTTTTATCTCTCGTCCCCTACTTTCAGTTCCCACTCCAATTCACTAAAAATGAGTAATCCCGAGACTAGGCTGCTCATTTCTGAGGGCTCGCGGTGCTCAAGGATGACTCCTGCCTTGTGCTCTGGGGGCCAGGTGGGGTGCCGAGATCCAACCCCCGGCGGTGTCGGGGAAGATGCCCTTCCTCGCCGGCCCTCAATCTTATCCATTTCCTAGAGGCAGGAACATGTGAAAAGGCTCCCCCAAAGCCGCTAAGAGCACACACACAGCCATACCTGAACGCCCAACTCGCGCCCGCAAGCGCGACTGCGTTCCGGCGCATGCGCAGATCCACGCAAACGCCGGATAGCAGCTCTGCGCATGCGTGCGCGTGCGCCTCTGTGTGTGTGTGTGTGTGTGTGTGTGTGTGTGTGTGTGTGTCTGCCTCTCTTACACATTCACGCCACTACAAAGGGTAAAATAACATGATCTGTAGCCCCTTAGAAGCCCACCGTTAGCCCACAAAACTAGAAAATCCAACTAGGCAGATCTCTCTTGCCTCTGGCACAGTATTGCCGGGGGCGGGGCCACCACGTGCGCAGCAGCAGAAAGGAAAACCGCTCAGGCATTCTTGGGAACAGTAGGCAGGGGGCGGGGAAAGCAAGAGGAGGCGCAGGGGGTTCTGGGAATTGAAGGCCAAGCGCGCGCAGCAGCCGTAAGTACTGGCGGAGCTGCCGCGGAGGATCCTGGGAGTTGTAGGCACATGGCCCTTGTGCGGAATGGAGTTTCCGGAATCACTTCCGTTTGCCAGCTTCCGCGTGCCTGTATAAACGTCCCGTTCCCGACTTCTGGCCAGGTGAGTAGTTGTCCCGCGGCGGCTTGGGTCGTGGGCTCCCGCATTTTTTAAAAAAATTTTTTTTATTATTCCGGTGCCTTGTGTTAAGGATGCTTTCCGGCGATGGTGATTGTTGTTTCTGTGATGCCTAATCGCTTAGATCCCTCCTCTCCAGGAGCCCCGGTCCGGGCTGTGCAGACCGGCCCATGTCTCATCCTCCTATCACACTCCCCTCGCCGGTCAGCTTCGATTATTTTCCTCCCCGCCGTCTCCAGTTGGCACATCCGGGAGACCCTAATTCTTTGCCGGACCCTCTGCCCTGACCGGGGGATGAGGCGAATGCTCCCTCCCTATAACGGAACTTGGAGCCCGAGCGTGGTCTTCTGGGCGCTGTTGTCCCTGTCATCCTACAGATGAACTCAGCCAACGCCCAAGGAGGCTCAAAGGGTGGGTGTGGGCACTGCAGAGTTGAGAGAAGGCCCTGTGGGAACCCGGCTGGGTCCTTGGAGCACCCGCCCTTGAACACCCACTGGGGAGCACAGTCGAGGCAGCCGCAAGGAGACCAAGTTGGGCAGCTTGGAGAATTGGGGATTGTAGAAGAGGAGGGAGGAAAGCCAGTAAATCCAGGGAGAATCAAGTTAGGTCTGGGAGAGAAAATAGGACCAGAGGCGACCCAGTGGCAGGCGAGGAACCAGCTGGCTGAGAACTGGACAGAGCAAGCACCAGGAAACAGGTGTTTTCTTGGGGTCAAGGGGAGCCAAACGGCATGGACTCTCATGAGAACCCTACTGAAGACGGTGTCACATCACCCCCCACAGCCCCAGAGGGAACCATAGACTGCCCTTCTGCCATCTTTCCCCTGACAGAGACAAGCCCCTGGCCCCCTAGTCTTGACATTTTTCTTTTGGGGGAGGAGTGCCACACCCGGCCATGCACATTCCTGGCTCTGCATTCAGGAGTTACACCTGTCAGTGCTCGGGGCACCATATGGGGTTCCAGGGATGGAACCTGGGTTGGCTACATGCATGCAAGACAAGCACCCTACCCAGTTGTACTATCACTGGGACTCTGGCCCCTGATATAGTTGTGGCTCCTCTCAGACTCCGCATTGCCCTGTGGACTGGGTCCCTCTGATCAGGGCTATGGAAGGAGAATGTGAATCCGTCCCCCCAAACAGGATCCGAGTCCAACCTGGGTGTGACCTGCCTGTCTTTACCCTTGACGGATGCGACCAGGAGGCAGGAGCCCCAGTCCACCATGTGGGACCCACGTGTCAACCTCCCCCGCACTGCCTCCAAGAACCCTGTTTCGTGGGCTCTGCTGCTGGTCTATTCCTAGCCAGGACGCCCCTATCCCCATCCCAACCCCCAAGCCCGGAATCCCCATAGAAACCATCCCCCTCTCTCCCAGTTCAGGAGGAGCTGCCAACAGCCAGGACTCCAGGATGCCAGCCCCTCAGTGCGCCTCCTGCCAGCAGGCACGCGCCGCCCTGCGCCGCCCGCGCTCGGGGCAGGCCCTGTGCAGCAGCTGCTTCTGCGCCGCCTTCGAGGCCGAGGTGCTGCACACGGTGACCATGGGGCAGCTGCTGCCCGCCGGGGCCGTAGTGGCCGTGGGCGCGTCGGGGGGCAAGGACTCCACCGTTCTGGCGCACGTGCTGCGCGAGCTGGCGCCAAGCCTGGGCATCACGCTGCAGCTGGTGGCGGTGGACGAGGGCATCGGCGGCTACCGGGACGCGGCGCTGGCGGCCGTCCGCGAGCAGGCGGCGCTCTGGGAGCTGCCGCTCACCATCGTGGCCTATGCTGACCTGTTCGGGGGCTGGACCATGGACGCCGTGGCCCGCAGCACGGCCGGCACCGGCCGCAGCCGCGCCTGCTGCACCTTCTGCGGGGTGCTGCGGCGCAGGGCGCTGGAGGAGGGGGCACGCCGCGTGGGAGCCACACACATCGTGACCGGTGAGCGCAGGCGCGGGGCGGCCAGCTGGGAGAAGCGAGAGCGCGGAGCAGTCTGCAGGGAGAACTCGGGGATTAGGAATGAAGAAGCATCCCAGGAGCCAGCCCAGACCTATAGGCAGAATGGGGGGCTGCTGTGGGCGGAGAAGCCCCAAGACCCGAGAACCGCTGGGTCACCAGTGGGGGGCCCAAGGCTCTGAGCGCAGCGTTAGAGCCTGTCCATATGCACAGTCCCTCCCCCTCTTTCCAAACACCACCATGCACTCCAGACACCTTTCCTGCCGGGCTGCACGGCCCTGTGCATGGTCTGCGAGCACTTAATTTTTTTCATTTTGTGACTGTCGGGGCTGATTCCTGACTGCGCTCAGGGATTATTCCTAACGGGTCGGCTCGGGGAACCTTATGAGGTGTTGGGGGTCTAGCCCTGGTCACCCGTGTGAGAGAAGGCGCCCTCTCGCTGTACTGTCACTCCAGGCCCCAGCTGCGAGCACTTTGAAGGGGGCCCCCATGTGATCTAGAGTGCACAACTGCTCATTCCATGCGTGCAGGGGCCGCTGCACGGGGTGGGTTGGCTCGGTTGGAGCCAAGTGTGACCCCAGATGACTCAAGGGGACCCCAGCTAGGTAGGTTCCCCACGTTTCTCCCTCTCGGGCCCACCGCCAACCTCTTCCCGGCTGCTCTGCAGTGCTGGGGGCTGCCCCGGGCAGGGACCTGCTCCCCCACTCCCCGGACCCCGTGCCCGCTCACCTGCCCCGTGCCTCTCCACAGGTCACAACGCAGACGACATGGCCGAGACAGTGCTCATGAACTTCCTGCGAGGCGACACGGGGCGGCTGGCGCGTGGCGGGGTGCTGGGCTCCCCTGGCGAGGGGGGCGCCCTGCCACGCTGCCGGCCGCTGCAGCTGGCCTCGCAGAAGGAGGTGGTGCTGTACGCGCATTTCCGCCGCCTGCGCTACTTCTCCGACGAGTGCGTGTACGCGCCCGAGGCCTTCCGCGGCCACGCGCGCCGCCTGCTCAAGCTACTGGAGGCCGCGCGGCCATCGGCGGTGCTGGACCTGGTGCACTCGGCCGAGCGCCTGGCGCTGGCCCCCACCGCGCGTCCCCCACCCCCAGGCGCCTGCACACGCTGCGGGGCGCTGTCCAGCCGCGAGCTCTGCCAGGCCTGCGCCCTGCTGGACGGCCTCAACCGCGGCCGGCCGCGCCTGGCCATCGGCAAGGGCCGTCGGGGGCTGGACGAGGAGGGGCCGTCGGAGCCTGAGCCTGATCCCGAGCCCAAGCCCAAGCCCAAGCCCGAGCCCGCCCTGGCCTCCCCGGCCCAGCTCACCTTCTAGGGGCCCCGGCGTGCCCCAGGGATGGGCGGGAGGGGTGGCCTAGACGTGGCCGTGGGAATGACCCGAGGGTGGAAGGGGACCCCACTGAAGCTGGAGCTTGGGAAGCACCGTTTGCCCCCCTCTGCGCTGTTGCATCAAGCTTCCAGTCTTGGGGTGACCAAGCAACTTAAGCTTTAGCCACTGGGGGGAGCTGGGCTTCAAGGAATGTGTAAAGCCTGGCCCCTTCCTGACCCAAGAGGGGACTGATAGTCAAGTCGCCCTCACTTACACACCTCCTGGCCGTCCTGGGCTGGTGGTCCCTTCATCAGAAACACCCAGTTCTGATTCTCCAGGGTCCTGGCAGCCCCCTGGATTCTCCCCTCTCGCCTGTCCACCCCCCACCCCAGGGCTACACACTCCCCCAGACAGGTCTCCTGAGGACTGCCCTCCTGTGTAAAAACACCCCACGCCCACCCCCGCAGGAGGTCACGGCCAGGCCACCTGCCTGCTGGTGGGTGAGTTGATCGAGCGTTTGCTCATTTATTCAACACTTTTTTTTTTTCGTGGTACCTTCTCTGTTCCTAGCACTCCAACGTGCTGGGGTGCTAGGATCACAGCCCTGAGCAGACAAAAGCCCTGTCCCAGTGAAGTTCACAGACAGTAAGCAAATAGATCCTGTCTCTTGGTGGCATCAAATGAGAAGAAAGGCTGGAGCCAGAAAGATTGCTCAAAAAATCTAGCGCACACTCTGCATGCAGGAAGCGTGAGTTCCCTCCCCCACTCAAATGGCCTCCCCAGCTCTGCTAGGAATGAGGTGGGTGTGGAGTGCATACTTACCACACTGAAGGAAGAGCAAGCTGACTGGCGGGGGTTTCAGAAGCAGGCTAAGCGCCAGTTCCTAGGGGCCGGGGCAGTGTCCGTCACACAGAGACCTGAATGAAGCAGAGGCAGAAACGCAAAAGGCCGCTCTGGAGAGGTGCTCAGGGCAAAGGCAAGAGTAGAAGTCTTGAGGGTAGGTAAGGCAGAAGCAAGAGAACTTGATTGAGGACTTTGGAGTAAAAGGAAGGATCATCCGGTCCCCTCCCCCACCCCACCCCACAATCACTCCAGCTGCAGTGCAGAGAATGACCAGCAGGGGTGCAAGACCCCAGGGTAGGTGAGGTGAGGCTTACCCGGGACAGGCCTGGGTCCGTACCCCCAAGGGAGCCTGGTGATGCCACAGGCTGGGCTTTCATTCCCAATTTTATAAAGGATGAATTTAGTGACTCAAAGACTTGAATTGGAGACCCTGCTCAGCAAAATGACCGCAACAGCAAAAACTGGCTCAGAGAGGTGCAGTGCCTTGCCCAGGATCACACAGCAGCAGAACACCTTTGCCCTTCAGCTATCCTATCTGCAGTAGCATTATCTTTGAGACAACTATCTAGTAGGGATAAAAATTTAAATATTCCCGGTCGGGCCTGTGATCGCTTCAACAGTTGCCCTGGTTCGGCTCCTAGCACAGCCCCTGAGCACCACTGGTTCAAAAAGAAAAAAAATTTTCCCCTTAAATTCTAATTGCCATAGATGGGGCAGGGGGGTGGGAATGGTGGATGAAATTCTGATTCACACTCGTTTTTCCAAAATGCCCTTGTTCTCGTATGTAATCAATATTATTCTAGTAGGTAATAAATGTATAAAAACATTTTAATGAGATATCTGATTCCTAGTTTTGGGGGGAGGTGCAGGTTCCTTAAAGGGCTGGGCTTGGGGCTGGGGGCATTGTCGAAGCCCATGCGTCGGGGACGCCCATTTTGCTCTCCCGGCCCCCATGTCTGGGAGCAGGGACCTGGCAGAGACTTGGGACCCCCGCCCCAGTAGCACTGTGTGTGTCTCTTGTGTGAAGAGGGAAGCGTGGGGTACAGAGAAGGGGGGGCCAGGAGCTGGCTCGGAGCTGGACGTGGACAGCGCACACCCGGCCCAGGATGGGCGCAGCACCGGGAGGGCAGCCAGCGGGGTTGGGGGGGGGGGGCAGGGTCCCGGGCGCAGGGCCAGAGGGCGCCTCTGCTCAGTGCTACCCTGGCTCCCAGCCGGACCCTGGAGACGGACGGGGAGCCCGAGCCTCTCTGCGGTTTCCTGCCCCTGCACAGGACATTGCAGTGGAGCAAGGCCCAAGAAGAGGGACCCGCAAGGCCCGCAGGGAAATCACCTCCGGGCCGGGCCCCACACCCAGATCATGGTCTTAAAGGATCCTGTTTCTGCTTGATGAAAAGTGGGGGGAGCACCCGGACAGGGAGCCCAGCCAGAATTCCTGGGATTCCAGGCCCCCCCCCACTTCACATGGGTCCCCACTGGGAGCAACTCCGCAGCATGGAGAGCCCCTGACCCCCAAACACAGCCAAATGGAGCACGTTTGGCCACTCTGGAACCATGAGGGGGTTCAGGTGCTCAGACCTGTCCAATAGACAACAGCGGACAGGGCAGGGTGAGGGGAGATGGTGCAGGGCACCTGTAAGAGGTGCCAGGGAGGGGTGCAAACAAGGGGACACCCAGGATCGCCCCAGACTGAGCCCCGCCAGTGAGGGGGGCTTCAGCAGAATTAGTGGGAAAGATCTCCCACCCAAAGGAGCTGCGAGATGACTTAGGGTGCCCAGGGCCAGGCTGACACAGCACGGCAGATGGGTGCAGGCGCTTCTGGCAATGGTCCCCATGGATCTGGGTAACTGGGACCTGGGAGATGGCTGGGGTTTGCGACTCATGTCAGGGGCTCAGCGGGCAGCACTGGGCACCCCTCACTCCTTTCCCTTTCCACATCACCCAACAGGAGGCTCAGGCGTATGGGGGGGTGGCACATTGGGGATGGGGGGGTAACAATGCACCAAACCACAGTTGGTCAGAGGCCCCAGAGATGCTCATAGCACCGGATACCCCCTCCCTCAGTGCCTGTCTCGGGGCGCTCACCTGTATCCCACCAGAAGCCCAGGGAGGGCTGGACAGCTGAAGCAAGGACAGTCAGCCAGGTGGGGAGCCCTGGGGAGACAGAAGCTCAGTGTGCACCCCCATTCTCTCTGTGTCCTTACCCATTCCCATGGGTGCGCCTGGATCTCTCTGTAACCAAATCCCCCCACCCCCCAACCACCACCACCACCACCACCACCATGGCCGTTGTCCGGAGCTGCTGGACCATCTCTCTTTCACCTCAGAGACATGCTGACCCCCTGCCCCCCGCCCTCTGCAAGCAACTCTACACACACACAACCCACCCAGCCACCCTGCACCTTCACCACCCACTGCCCGCAGTCCAGCCCTGCCCTCTCCTGGGTCTCCAAGTCCCCAACCCAACCCCAGCCCAGCCTCCCACTGCAGACAAGGGGCTCCTGAAATTCCTGAAGGCCGAGTTCTCAGGGCGCCCCGCCCACCCAGGTGCCCCTTGGGCTGAGCCCCACTTCCCATCCACACCGCACCACACCCCGCAGCCGCCCTGCGCTTCCTGCTTCCTTGCCGGGACAATGCAAGAGGCATGCGGCCTTTTGTCTGGGGCTAATCCCACCGCTCTTGCAAGGCACCAACGACCCCTTTGTTCTGCAGCCTCCGCGCCCAGCAGTGGCTCAGAACCTCCACCTGCCTTGGGTAATACCCAGCCTGGGATGTGCCACTCCCGCCTCCCTGCGGGGAGTTATTTTCTCCCAGGACCTCTGGGAGGGTTCAAGATGGAAAGAAGAGCCCAAAGAGAGTGGGGAGGGCACTGGCCTCGCGTGTGGCTCACCTCAGGCTGATTCCCAGCACCCAGTTGGACCCTCCGAGCCCTGCCTGGGAAGATCCCTGAGCACAGGCCCAGGACTCAGTCCTGAGCACTGCCACATGTGACCGACACCCTCCCCCCTCCAAAATTAAAAAGGTGTTTGCGGGGGGCCCCGGGAACAGCTAAAGGGCTGATTCCATGTTCTTCAGGTTCAATCCCCAGCACCGAGAACTGGGCAACCGAGCCCAAACACTGAGCTCCTAGAGCCAGGGGTAGCCCCAAGCACAGCTGGAAGTGTCCACTGCTCCCGAAACAAACCCGATTACTTCTGGGGAGCAGAGAAGCGAGTCAGGCAGTTGGAGAGTTTGGGGTGATGTTCAGGCCAGACCTCTGCTCCCTCAGCCTCGTGGCTTGTGCGCCACAGCCCCGGCTTTCCTCCCTCTCCCTCCATCCCCAATTCCCCCACCACACTGGCCTCCTTTTTAGCATGTGCTGTTCTCTCTCTCTGGAGCAGATTCTTCCCCTTCCTCCAGACCTTTGCTCAAAGATATCTTGGGGACACGCAAGGGGAAGAATACAGTGGTGTAGAGTGCCCATCTGCAAGCATAAGGTCACAAGTTGAACTCCCTGGGATGTCATATGCCGAGAACCATTCTAGCATGCGCGCACACACACACACACACACACACACACACACACACACACACTGTGAGGGGTTGCCTGCCGCCAGGGGTGGGTGGACACTGCCCCAGAGGGCATGAGCCCTGGCCAGCCCTGTCACTAGAAAGATACCTGAGCACTGCCACCAGAAAGCTGTTCCTGGAGCATGCCACTAAGTGCCCGGTCAGCCCAGAGGGCAGAGAGTGCTGCAGCCCATGAGAACACCAAGGCTAAGAGCATGGCGCCCCCTGCCCTGTGAGCATGTGCAACCCTGGTTGGCGTCAAAGCCAAGTGTGTGAGCAGAATGTCAGGGTGTGGGGTCCCCTGAAGAGAAGGGAAGGAGGAGAGGGTAAAAAAAATTACATGCAAGTCACTCAGTTCGAGAGTCAGGAGAGAGTGCAGGGCAGAAGTGCTTGTCTTAGATGCAGATGGCCCAGGATCAATCCCAACACCCGCAGGAGTGAGCACAGAGCCAGGTGTCACCCCTGAGCACCACTGGGTGTGGCCCAAAAAAACATAAAGAAAAAAAGAAAGTCACGTAGTTGGCACTTTCCTAACCCTCCGTCTTTCTTATCCTTCTCAGGCTGAACGCGTAGCTCACAAGACTTTCCCTCCATGCCTTCCCAAATAGGGGCAGAGATTTCTGTCTGCTTGGGTCACTGGCATCACCGCCCTGCATTAGGACCATGACAAACGTGGGTGCTCAAGTATGTGTTGACAATGGGCAGGAGGAAGGGCAGGAGGAATGGAGGAAGCGAACCCCAGTAAAGGAGTTCCAGGGTCAACACATACTTGGCCGGTGGGGACATTAGGACGTGATTCAGCCACAGGAAGGAAGGGCAGTTCTCTGCCCCCACCCCCCGCCCCCTGCCACCTCCATTTCCAACAGGCCAGTTAGGGGTTGTCCCGGCAAGGGAGGCAAATCCAGAAAGGAAAGGTCCCAGCGAAGTCAAGTCCAGGGGGTCAGGAAGTGGGATGCGTGTGGGGGTTGAAATGGGTAGGGGGACGGAATTCAGCTAGAGAAGACGAGAAAGTTCTGGGGTCCAGGTTGTAGGAGTGTTAAGGTGCTGCCTTTGCATGGGGCTGACCCCAGTTCGATGCCCAGCACTGCATAGGGTGCCCTGTGCCCCACCAGGAGTGATTTTGGGGTGCCTGTTTTATTGGGGCCACACCTGGGTCACTATGGGTGGGGGTTTCTGGGAATGGTACCTGGGCCTTCTGCATGCAGGGTCAGTACCCCAACCCTTTGAACCATCTCCCCAGTTCTAAATTGGACATTTCAACGTATTTTGGTTTTGGGTTTTTTTTCCCTTGGGGGTGCGGGTCTTGGTCACACCAAGCTGTGCTCGGGGCCTGATCCTCGCTCTGCACTCAGGGCTCACTCCTGGTGGGTCTGGGGGGACCATAAAGGATGCCGGAGATCGAACCCAGGCCAGCCACTGTGCTATCACTTCAGCCCCTCAACATAATTTTTTTTTGGGGGGGACACCCGGTGATGCTCAGGAGTTACCCCTGGCTCTGTGCTCAAGAATCACTCCTGGCGCTGTTCAGTATGGAATGCTGGGGACCGAATCCATGTCGATGTCGTACAAGGCAAGAGCCCTCCCCACTGTACTATGGCTCTGGCTCCCATGAAGTTTTTAAAAATCAAATTAATTTGTGTGTGTGTGTGTGTGTGTGTGTGTGGTGTGGAAGTGGAATACAAAGGTGCCAGGGCCAAATCCAAGACCAAATCCAGGACCTCACATTTGCAAAACACGAGTCACAACCTGGGCGGCCCCCTAAGCACCGGGGTGGGCTCCACACAGACTCAGAAACACATGGGCTGCTCCGCTGAGAAAAACAAAGAGGCAGATAAGGAATGAAAGGGGGCAGGAGGGAGCGCCTGGCCAGACCACTCAGTGCGAGGCTTCCTGCACAGAAGGGGGAGTGGGGGGGGGGGTATGTGAGGCGGGGGAGAAGAGGAGGGGTGTGGTTCTGTTTGCCGGAAACGCTCTTTTTGTCCTAGACTTGGGTTTTGAGTCCAATGTGCCCTTCAGAATTGATTTGGGTTTGAACTGTCTAGATCCACGTTGACAGATTTTTAGAGGTGGGCAGGAAAGAGGGCGGGGAGAGGAGTGCGTCTTGCTCCTGCCCCTCTTGGTGCCTTGGCAGGCATGCATATGCGCGCCTCTCCTTCTGCGCACCCGGGGCACGAGTGCGTGTCGTTCCTGCCTCCTGGTGCACGTGCGTGTCATTCCCACGCATCTGGATAACGTGCAAAAGCGTCACTCCCAGGGGCACGTGTGCACGTGCGCTGTCTTCAAGCATCTGGCCCAGGTGTGCTTGCGGCCCCGCGTGATGGGCGCAGCAGGAATGTGCACCCGGTGTCCGTGCGCATCTGGCTGTGGGCGCGCACCCCCCCCCCCCCAACCCCTCACCCCCGTCCCCGCAGAGCTGCTTCCTCTCCTTCCTAGCCGGGTGTTCTAGAGGTTTCTCCGTCCCACGCCTATACCCACTGGCCTCTCCCCTTCTGGCTGACCACCTGCCGGCTCCCGGGAAGCCTTTGTGCGGGACCTGAGCCCTGAGCCGAGGCCAAGGCTGACCGGGTGGGGAGAGCATGAGGCGGCCCAGGGTTGTGCTGGGATGTGCGGGCGTGCTGGGCACCTCCTGAGTCACGGCGTGGTGGTCGCGATGGGCGGCAGGACCACAGGCAAATTGCAGAGTCACTGCGGAGTTTAAGAGGCTGGGGGAGGGGCCAGGCACGGCCTTGAGCGAGTTAGGACACGTGGGTGCCCTAAACCCAGTGCCCACATGGGTGCAGGGAGCCTTTCTGACCAAACCACTGTCTCCCCTGAACAAGGGTCTCTGTCCCCACTCTTTTACTCTAGGTCTCTGTCTCTCTGGGTCTCTGTCCCCCTCTCTCCAGGTCTCCGTCCCTCTCTGGGTCTCTGTCCCCCTCTCTGGGTCTCTGTCCCCTTCTCTGGGTCTCTGTACGCCTCTCTCCCTCTGTCCAAACCGCAGACTTCATCGCTTGTCACATCTCTGTGCCCGCCTCCCGTTTGCAGGCGGATCCCAGAGGCCCCTGACCCTGCTCCCTGGCGCCTGTCGTCAGCCTTCCAGGTCCTGCTGTGAGGAACATGGGGAGTCCCCTCTGTGCCCATGCTGTTTGGCTGTTGGTCATGGTCCCACCCCCAACCACACCAGGGGCTCCCAGGGCCTGCTCAGGGCATGCTTGGGTTCCCAGGGTCATGGGGCCAGAGCCCAGGGCCCTGCACGTGGGGCACATGTCATGCAAGAATGGCCCCACCTGGTGGGACCGGGGATGAGGGGCACTCCTGTCCTGCATGGTGCTGGGCATCTACTACAGAGCACATGCTTTCTAGGGGCATCTCTAGCCCTCGGGCCCTTGCCCCGGCCCGCCTCCTCCCCTTCCTCTCTCCAGACCACAAGCCCTTCCCCACAGCTATCATTCCCCACATGCAGAATTGGGGCACAGTGGGTCCAGGGTCTACACTGTTCTGTTTCTCTCCACTTTTGCCCTCGTCTCTGAGACCCCTTGCCTCCTCCACTTGGCGCCCTCTGAATCCTGACACCCCCTCTTCCCTACATACCCGGCACCTTCCCATCACCACCCGCACAAGCTGCTTCTCACTGTCCCTGCTCCCTGCTAGCCTGGCAGTGCCCTCCGCCCTGCCCAGGACCCTTCTCTGCCAGCCAAGTCTCATTACTCTGTGGCTGCTTCTTGGGCCAGAGCAGGAGGGAGGGGAGGGAATGGGGACATTGCAATGGGAACAGGTAATAAAAAAAATAATAAGTGTCGGGAAAGGGCGGGGTGTGGGTGAGGGTGGGGGCAGGGCCAGCTGCCCAGATCCTGGATAAAAGCCTCCCAGAGGGACAGAGGAGAGAGGCGACACCCCCACTTCCTGGGCACCAAGGCAGCAAGGCGGGAGTAAGGCCCTCAGCATACCCCTGCGCACCTGTCTCCCCGCACCTCTACTTCTGTCCTCTCCCTCATCCCTTATCCATGCCGCGGGGAGTCTTGGTCTCTGGGTGACGGGCTCTGTCGGTGTCCACCTCCGGGTGTCCAGCACCTCTTCCCCATTCTCACTGTCTCTGCCAGATCCCCACCTGGCCCAGGATGTTCCTCCTGCTCACTGCACTCCAGGTCATGGCCATAGGTAAGCTTGTGGCAGGGGGGCTAGATGGGGGTTCCTGAGGGCTCTGAGAAGAGGAGGGAGGGCTCTCGAGAGCCAGGATGCTCTGGGGGCAGCGTGGCATGGGCGGTGAGGGGAAGCAAGAGGAGGGCACAGCAGGACATTTGCCTTGCATGCAGCTGATCCGGGTTTGATCCCCAGCTCCCTCTATGGGCCCCCAAGCACCATCAGAAGTAATTGCTGAGTGCAGAGCCAGGAGTAAATCCTGAGCATTTCTGGGAAAAAGAAGCAGTGGGAGGAGGAGGAGGAGGAGGAGGAGGAGGAGGAGGAGGAGGAGGAGGAGGAGGAGGAGGAGGAGGAGGGGGAGAAGGAGGAGGAGGGGGAGGAGGAGGAGGAGGGGGAGGAGGGGGAGGAGGGAGAGGAGGGGGAGGGGGAGGAGGAGGGGAGGAGTGGCTTGGGAACTGTGGCTGAGAGTGTGTTTGTGTACCCATGGCGGAGATGCCACATGTGGTAGGGAGCAAGAGCATCGTAGGGTTGGGGGGGGGGGAAGGAGCAGGAGCTGGGGAGCAGATCAGGGTAGGAGGGAGAGCAGAGGCCCTGGACAGCACAGCAGGGAGGGCACTCATCTTGCATGCCACACAGCCACACAGGGTCCTCTGAGCGCTGTCAGTGTCAGCATAGCTAAGGATGGCCCAAACCCCCTAAGCAGAACTGGGTGGGGGTGGAGAGTGTGTGGTAGTGAAGGGCTGTCCTTGCGACTGAGGGGTGGGGACTCAGCAGGGAGGGGCGTGGCATGGAGGACAGAAGGTGTGGGTAGGGGGTGGCTGCTGGGGAAGGGGGTTTGCTGTGTGTGGGCTTTGTGGAGAAGAACCAGGAGCTTCTGCGTGTGCTGGGGGACAAGCAGCAGATGTGCGTGGCCCCTTGTGAGGGATGGTGACTGTCCGCTCCATGGGGCAGCGGTGGACGCCCAGTGGGAGGGTTGCACAGCGGGCAGGGTGCTGGCCTTGCATGTGGCTAATTCCCAGTCCATCCGCAGCACCATGTAGGGGCCCCTGAGCTCCTCCAGGAGTGACTCCTGAGCATTACGGTGTGACCCCAACTCTGCCCCCTCCCAAGGGGAAGAGAGTAAATGATCAATGCTCTGAACAGGGCGGCATGGGGGCCAATGACCAATGCTATGGAGGCGACAAGACAAGGGTCTGGAACTTCCCTGAGGGGGCTGTTGTAAGGCTTGGTTCCGACAGGTTGGGCAGTGGGAGGGGAATGCTCTGGAGTTCAAGGAAAGGGCTGTGGGGGTGCTTGGCATACGGGAGTAAGGGGAGAGCGCTTCGCACCACTGTCTTCCCTCCTGTTGTCCCCAGCCATGGCAGAGAACCCTGAGGATGACAACAAGATCATTGGCGGCTATACATGTGTGCAGAACTCGCAGCCCTGGCAGGCAGCCCTGCTGATACGGTCCAGGCGTCTGCTCTGTGGGGGCGCCCTGCTCTCCAGCCAGTGGGTCATCACCGCCGCTCACTGCGCCCGCCCGTGAGTGTCCCCAAAGACAGGGAGTCGCAGACCCCAGGATTCGGTTGAGGGTGCTGTGCCATGTGTGGAGCCCAGTGTTGCCTCTGGTTTCTGGCCTGGAAGTTAGTGAAGAGCTGGGGGAAGGGGGGGGGGGTTGTAAAGGCAAGCCTAGAACTGAGGAAGCCCAGGACCAAGAGAGCTTGGAACAAGAATAGTCCAGAACCAAGAGGGCCTGTGACCAGGATAATCTAGAATAGGATAGTTTGGAACCAAGGCAACCCATAACCAAGACTGCCCAGAAAGAAGAGCCCAGAACAAAGAAATTCTAGAACCAGAAAAGTCTAGAACCAAAAACAGACCAGGACCAAGGTATCCCAGAACCAGGGTGTTCTAGAACCCAGGACAACCTAGAACCAAGAGATTCCAAAGCTGAAGAGAGTCTACAACTAAAATAGCCTAAAACGAAGATAATCTAGGACCAGGGTAGCCTAGAACCAAGAGCCTTCAATCTGATCGTCTAGAGCCAAGAGAATCTATAACCTGGATGACCTAGAACCCAGGAGAGTCTAGAGACAATAGCTTGCCTTGCACGGATTCAGTCTCCAGAATCACACAGGGTCCTCTGAGCACTTCCAGCGTTCATTCCCGAGCCAGAGCCAGGAGCCAGCCCTGAGCACAGCTAGGTGTCATCCAAAACCAAAACCATCAAATTCAGAATCTAGCCCATAGACTAGAGCTCAGACCCCGGCCTAATATCTAAGTCCATGAAAGCTGAACACATGCAAAGGTCCAAATCAAATCCAGAGCCCCTCTAAGATTCAAGACCAGAACCGAGAACCCGAACTAGAAGTTAAAATCCAGACAGGCGCTCACCTGGCACCTATAAACCAAATCTGATGCCACCTGCTGACGTTCATGGAGTCTAGAATGCAGAATCCAGCCCAGAGTCTAGAACATCAAGTTCCAGCAATACCTAAAACCTTGGGTGCAGGCCATAATCTGGAGTCCAGCTGAAAGTCAAAGCCGGGCTGGAGAGAGTGGGGGGATTGCCTGCATGCGGTGCCTGCTGGGTTCAGGGAAGCCCTGAGCACCCCCAAGCGTGCCCCTACTCCTGAAACATCAAAACCCAAAAGTAATAAAGCCCAGAGCCTTACTTGAGGTCAAGGACTCAGAATAAGATCTAGAACCAGGGCCTGGGCCCTCACTTGAATCCCATCTAAGAGACCCGACGGCACAGTGAAGACCCAAGTGGAGACCCTGGAGTCGGAGATGGCATAACAAGGCTCTGGCTTCACGCCTGGCCAACTGGGCTTGGATCCTCAGTACCACATAGGGCCCCAGGAGTGATCCCTGTGCACAGAGCCAGGAGTAAGCCCTGAGCTCTGCCAGGTGTGACCCCAAAACCAAGAGACCAGTAATAAAAATCCCAAAGTTCATGTCCATCTCTAGAAACTAGCCAGGGTCCAGCTCTAGAGCCCTGCCCTGGCCCAGCCTCAGGGTCCAGAATGTCCACAGAGGCTAGTCTAGAAGGCAATGGGGGACTCTTGGGATCTTACCAGGCTCTGGAACCCAAAACCCCTTAGAGCTCAGGGCACGGATGTCGCCAGCACCTCGCAGAGCCCAAAGCTCCCAGCCAGCCCTATGCCCCAACCAGATGACGAAGCACAGCCCACGGGAGGGCAGGCAGGAGGCTGACCTGGTGGCACACACAGTCCACGGGAGCCAGCCCAGCTCCGCAGCGCTCGGCAGGACCTGGCTAGGGGAGACGCAGACTGGGGGTCAGGGGCTCTGGGTCAGATGCTGAGCTCTGCTGTTGGGGGGTTTTGGGCCAGGAAACTTGACGTCGCCCTGGGAAAGCACAACCTGCTGAGATGGGAGGCCACTGAGCAGGTGCTGCGTGTGGCTCGCCAGGTGCCACACCCGGAGTACAACGCCCGGACCCACAACAACGACCTCATGCTGCTGCGGCTGGCGCAGCCGGCTCGGCTGGGGAGGGCGGTGAGGCCCATCCCCCTAGCCACTTCCTGTGCCAGCCCCGGGACCGCCTGCCGCGTGTCTGGCTGGGGAACCACATCCAGCCCCATTGGTGAGGACCGGTCTGAGGGAGGAGACAGGGGGCTGGACTCGAGGGTCTGAAAGCGGAGGCTGTGGGCTGGACTCCAAGGTCTGAGGAAGGAGGCTGGGACTGGACTCCAGGGTCTGAGGAAGGAGGGACTCAGGACCTTCTGGGTACTGTTCCCCAATGTAATCGCTCAGTTTCCCCCAGTCAGGTATCCCAAAACTCTGCAGTGTGTGAACGTCAACATCTCCTCGGACCAGGCATGTCGGCGGGCCTATTCCCGGGTCATCACCCCAGGCATGATCTGTGCAGGGGTCCCCCAAGGCGGGAAGGACTCATGTCAGGTGAGGATGACAGCTGGAAGGGCTGTGCAGGGCACTGGGCCAAGTCCAAAAATGTCTCATAACCACGATGAGCATCACTCCCTCAGAGACCAGGAGAAAGCGTCAAAAGCCAGAATTGACCGCCAGGACTCAGTTTCCCCTTCTCTTAAACAGCACTGCTCAGCGTGCCTCAGTTTCCCTTCTCTTAAACAGCACCACTCAGCGTGCCTCAGTTTCCCCTTCTCTTAAACAGGACCGCTCAGCGTTCCTCAGTTTCTCCTTCTCTTAAACAGCACCACTCAGCATGCCTCAGTTTCCCTGGTGCAGGAGCAGCACTGCTCAGAGTAACTGGAGGAATCATATGAGATTGTGTAAAGTTTTCAAGGGACCAGAGAGAGAGGAGTGGGTTGCGGTGCTTGCTGGCCCCTGTCCAGACCCATGCATTACACACAAAGTGACCCCTGAGCACGCCGCTGTGGCCCAACCTCCCGCGCCTCCCTCCCTGTGTTTGCCTCTCCCCGGCAGGGTGATTCCGGGGGACCCCTGGTGTGCAGAGGACAACTCCAGGGCCTCGTGTCCTGGGGGATGGAGCGCTGCGCCATGCCAGGCTATCCCGGGGTCTACGCCAACCTGTGCAAGTATCAGGCGTGGATCCAAGACACCATGCGGCAATACAGATGAGCAAAGCCGGGCACCAGCACCTCCTACTTCCAGCCCTGCCTCCTCCCTCAGACCCCAGAGCCCACCACACCCCCTCCTCCTCCAGACCCAGAAGCCTACCGCACCCCCTCCTCCCTCAGACCCAGGAGCCCAGCCCTGCCTCCTCCCTCAGACCCCAGAGCCTACCACACCCCTTCCTCCCTCAGACCCAGCAGACCACCCATCCCCTCCTCCCTCAGACCCAGAAGTTCAGACCCAGCCTCTTCCCTCAGGCCCAGGAGCCCACCACACCCCCTCCTCCCTCAGATTCAGCAGACTACCCATGCCCTCCTCCCTCTGACCCAGGGTTCCCACCCCCACTACTGACCTGCCCCGGGCTCTCCTGTAGGCTTGCCCCTGAAGTCCCTGCAGGGTCACTGCCACAGGTCCCCCGGGCAGGATCTCACAGCACTAAACTGGCTCCGGGTTGCCGAGAGATGCTGTTCCAAGGCCTGGTGTCTCCCAAGGCCAGGGAAATAGTAAAGCTTGGACAGCCCGAAGTCCTGTTGGTCGTTCCTGTCCACCTGTCCAACACACGTGTGCACTGCCAAGGCCTCGTGGCTAGACGGGGCCACATGCCAACAGCTCAGTGGGCTATGCACCACCACACACACACTCAGCCTGTAGGAGGAGCGGAGATGCCCAGGCTGGCCACAGACCCCAGTCATCCCTGCTGGGCAGCCGGAGCCCACATCAGAGGGGGCCTCCCTCAGACCTCAGGGCCTGTCCACCAAGTCCAGCTCCTCCTCCTTTGTGCATTGTCCACTGTCATCCTGACACCCACCGACCTGGCCACAGGCGCTACACCCCTAGGGCTGACTGACCCTCATGAAACCACTATAATGAGTCTCCTTCCCCATCCCTCTCTCCCTCCCTCACTTCTTCCCTCCCTCTCTTCTTTCCTCCACCTCCCTCCCTCCCCCTTTTCCCCTCCCTCCCTCCCTCCCTCCCTCCCTCTCTTCCTTCCTTCCTTCCTTCCTTCCTTCCTTCCTTCCTTCCTTCCTTCCTTCCTTCCTTCCTTCCTTCTCCCACCTGTCCTGTGCCCCAGACTCAGTCATTTCCACCTGCTCTAGAACTGCCTTCCTCCAGGGAGGGCTGCCTCTCTGTTCTGTTCCAGAACAGCATCCAGCATGGGCAGAGATATAGCCCAGCACAGGCTTGTCACGCAGGAGGCCTGGGTTCGATCCCCAGCACCACATGGCCTTCTCGATCTTTGCAAACGTGGTTCTTTTGCAAATGCGACTCTTCAGAAACTTGCATGTCCCAGTCCCCTGGGATCCGGTGACTGTCGTGACTCTAGCTCTGTGGCCAGCGGTGGGCCCAGGCTGTGCTCTCTGATGGGACTGGCGTTCACAACTCCCAGAAACCAGGATGACCATCTACCAGCCCTCACCATGGTGGCGTGCTCTGTCTGAACCGTTCCACGCAGGCTGGTACCAAGCCGAGTGCCCACTGCGATCTGGCCCTGGAGTGGCCAGTGTAGCTAAGGATTGGTTTGGTTTGTTGGTTGTTTGGAGATTGAGGTCGCGGTGCTCGCAGGAGTACCCAGCTATGCTGCACGACCATGGGGTACTGGGGATCAAAGAAATAGACTGCATCTTGTTTGATGGTTGTTTTGGCCCACACCCAGTGGTGCTCAGGGCTTACTCCTGGCTCTGTGCTCAGCGATCATTCCGATGGTGCCTGGGGGACTCTAAGGGGTGTCAGGATAGAACCCAGATCAACTGTGCAAGGCAAATTCCTTACCCACAGTATCATCTTTCTGGCCCAACAGACTTTTAAAAAAAAAGTATACACTACTTAATTGTAAGCTAGTGCTATTATTATTATTATTAATATTATTATTACAGTGTCAGGGAGTGAATGCAGGACCTCACCCCACTAAGTCACTCTACCACTAAGCTATATGCCTGAACACTGTGATTTAATTTTTATGGGTTTTTGGTGGCAGGGATTGAGCCACACTGAGAGGGCTACTCCTGGCATTGCTGGGGACCTTATATGGTGCTGAGGATTAGAAGTGGGGTCAGTGGTGTTCAGGTGAGCTTTCTCTCAGACCCCCAACGACTTGGTTATAAAGATTATTTAGCAATCATTTCTCAAAAGTCCTGAGAGCTTGCCACAGCTTCCTCTGGGCCTGTCTGAGCCGCTCTGGCATGCAGGCCGGGCCCAGCATGGGGCCACAGACCTTTCTACCTTCAGGGGTTCTCTGCATATAAATGATTTTTCCGGCTCCAGGTCTCCTCTTGGAGGTAAACTTTGGGAAGGGGCAGGGCACGGAAAAATTTTATACTTGTCTGGCTTGTTGCCAGGGTCCTGCTTCACTGGGGTCTGTGCAGGGGTCTCAGTGGGGGCGCTCAGCCAGTCTGCCAAACCCTCCATATTGCAAAGAAAGGTGCCTGGCTGGGGCTGAAGCGATAGCACAGCAGGTAGGGTGTTTGCCTTGCAAATGGCCAACCCCGGTTCAATTCCCAGCATCCCATATAGTCCCCTGAGCACCACCCGGAGTAATTACTGAGTGCAGAGCCAGGAATAACCCCAGGTGTGACCCAAAAAAGGTGCCTGTCTTCCGGGAGTCCATTAAGATACCCTGTCTGCTCGCAGCCTCTTTGCTGGGGCCAGAGAGAGCATGCAGGGAGTTAGGGCATCGGCCTGGTGACCCCCTCCCTGGAGCCCTCAGTTGTAACTCCAAGAACAGCCCCAGCGCCTCCAGGTTGGCCCAAATAAAACATTATCTGTGGGGGTCAGATTAATAGTACAGCAGTAGGGTACTTGCACATGCACGCCTGACCTGGGTTCATCCAACTCCACATACCCCGTGTGGTCCCCCAGATCACTCCAGGAGTGACCTCTGAGCACAGAGCCAGGAGAAACTCTGAGAACCACTGAGTGGGACCCAACACCCAAACCACAACAGCAAAAATAGAATCTTCGATAACTTGTGAGGATAGGGCATCCCATGGAATGTGTACCCCACCGTGGCGACATAGGTGGGGGTATCAGGGGGGATTCTGTGAGCTAGGAGGGGCTGGCACAGTAGTTGGCTGTGCCTGTGTGGTCACACAGTCGGGGGCAAGGTCTGGGTCCCTGCTCTGGGACAGCCCCTGCACAGCAGATTCCCCCCCCCCCCGCCACCCCAGGCCATCGCTCCTGGGTCCTGCTAGAAGCGGTTTCATTTTCCTTCTTCGGTGAAAACCAGCTCCGGGCAGGGCTGAAGCAGCTGCTGCATCCTGGGGACCCCAGTGACCAGCTGAGCCTGTCAGGGGGGCCCAACTACCATAGTCAGGGACGTCCTCAAAGGAACGAGCTAAGATCCAGAAGGCAGTTGAAAGGGCCAGAGCACATATGTTGGAGGCCCAAGAATTGCAATTTGGGTATGTGGATTTAGGCAGAAAATCAAAGGCTTGCCCCCAATGTGGACAAAGTCAATGTTTTATGAGAGGAAAAGTCAAGGTTTTATGGAAGCTCAAACTTTCCCTCTCTCCCTTTCTTCCTTTCTTCCATCCTTCCTTCCTTCTCTCTCTCTCTTTCCCGTTCTCTTTCTCTTTTTCTCCCTCCCTCCTTCCCTCCTTTTCCTTCCTCCTCTCCTCCGTCCCCCCTCCATCTCCCCTCTCCTCCCTCCCTCCCTCCCTCCCTCCTTCCCTCCCTCCCTCTCTCCCTCCCTCCCTGTCTTCCTTCCTTCCTTCCTTCCTTCCTTCCTTCCTTCCTTCTTTCCTTCCTTCCTTGCTGGAGGGGTTAGACCACAAGCCCTTGGAGTGGCTCAGGGCTGACTCTTGGCTATGAGCTCAGAGATCACTCCTGGCAGTAATCAGGGGACCCTATATGGTACTGAGGGTCCAAACCCTTGAACCCCAATAATCTCCAGCCTCCCCCACTAATTATTTTCTTAAAACTGTTGCTTTAGGCCAGTCCTGAATCTCTGGTCTGGTTTATAGAGACGTGTCTTGTCCACAAAAAGCAGAGAAACAGCTGAATAGAAAAGGCCAGAGCATGGGCTTATGCAGGAGGCCTAGATTCGATCCCCAGCACCATGTGGTCCCTGAGCACTATTGGGAGTGACCCCTGGAACACAGAGCCAGAAGTAGCCCTCCCAAGCACACTCCCTGTAACCAAACACAAATAAAAAGACACACAAAAATAAAAATATGAGAACATTTATTTTGCCAAGAAAACCACTTGCATGAGTTGGGAGTTGGTGTGACCAGCATGCCTGCAGACAGCCTAGAGAGAGGAACAAGAATTGGGTCTGCAGGGTAAATCAGAGGGGGTCAGGTTAGCCTGGTGCCCACCCAAACAGAGTCCCTGGCAGCTGCTTGCTCCCACAATCCAAAATCACCACATGTCCCCCGGCCGGACTCTACTGTCTCAGGACAGATCTCACAAAAATATTTCAATCTGTTGAAAATTCTGGTATGTGGGTTTTGTGACTGAAATATCCAGGCTTTCTCGGGGTTGGGATGGGCTACCATCCCCCACCTCCCTGTACTTCCGGAAGTCTTGGCAGTCACATCCACACCCCAAAGCTGCCACCCAATTGAAAAGCTACTCCAGCCTTACCGTCTGGATAAAAATACTGAATGTCTTAAACAAACACAATGACCTCCTAGCCTGTATTGCAAACCATAATGCACTAAAGGAAAAGGAGAGAGAGGGCAAGAAGGAAAGTCCCTCCCATAGAGGGAGGCTGGGGGTTGGGAGTGGGGTGTTGGGGGATGGTGGGAGGGAAAGAGAGGAGACTGTTTGTGGGAAATGTACACTGGTGGGGGGTGGGTGCTGGATCACTGTATGACTGAAATCCAAATATGAGCAGCTTTGTAATGGTCTATCTCACAGATATTCAATTTAAACATTTTTTAAAAAGAAAAGAATTGGGTCTGATGCTCGGAAGCCCCCCTTTGCAGGATGTCACAGCAAGACATGCTCTGCACTTTTCAGGACACGTTCGCATACCTATGAGGGGCAATGGGCACACACACAGGTCA